CTATTTTATACATTAATGATACAGCATCGTGAACTAATTTGGTTTTGTTGTTTCGTGTGGATACTATTGAATTCAAATTGTCAGATACGGCTTTAATTGTTTGATCTTTCTCTGTAAATCTCACACTTTACTTACAGAATCTATTATTTCGCATAGCACACTACTGCTTCGCTTTATTTTATGATATTCCAAAAACTATTGAAATTTGTTTTTATAATTTATGCCTTTGTTTGAAAATTGCTTCATTTTGACTAAAAAAACATTTCCTTTTAGTAGCTTCGTGAACTATTTCATATCGATTTGTATAGATATTTTGTTAGTCGTTGGCTTAATTCATCGTTATGTTTGCTTTTTCTTTATTTTATCGTGTATACGATTAAGACGGTTTTACATGCGCCTTTCTTTTAATAGTTCATCTGACTCCTTGTCATTAAATCTTCTATAATTTCGAAAAGTTTTGACCTTTACAATTAATTATGTTCCTGATATACCATTTTTTCAAGTAAATAAAAATTGGATCAATATGTATTGTTTTTCCACAAAACACTTTGAATTGGAATGTTTTCTCTTTCAAAAAATACCAATTAGTGTTTTCATTCATATTCCAAAATATTGCTCTCATATGGTCGCTGTGTTAGTCAACTTGCCAGATATAAAATATTATACGAATTCCTTTATATTCGGGGATAGAAGTTAACTCACTTTCTGATCTCTAATCAATAAGACTCCCAGTGTAGTCCCCTCTACAAGAAGTAAAAGTATCTGCTACAATTAATTGAACAAATTGGCTTAAGCGACAGCCACTGTTTGAAGTGTACACTTACCGTTTTTGAATTATTTAGACCATCATTTTGATTTGACCTTGCAATTGTTTTGTCTCGAGCGTCAACGAGGGAGTCTTATATAAACGAAACGTGCGTATAGCGTTCAAAACTATAAGTCTGAATCTTTGGTGAGTTTTTGCAAATCAATTACGCCAACAGCCGTTTTTATTCCATAGGTTCTTGTCTTTCATAACTATCGTGTTTACTACTTTTTAAATTATCATTGAAAATTCTGTAAAAAAAAGTATAACAAAAATACCGAACTCAAAGGCAAATTCAAAAAAGGGAAGTCCATAAAAACTGACAAAATTAAACGATATAACATATTCCTATAGTTATTTGTCTTTTGCATTTTTCCTACCTTTCCAACACAAACAAAACTTTTGTAATTCGGTAGGGTGTTCATCATTTGCCAAAAAGATTTCAACAACATAAAAATTAAACATTATATTTAGTAAATGCTTGTTTAAAAGATGCATTTTTTATGACATACCAAGAATACCAAGAAAGTTTTTAAGAAATTTTTTTTTCCTGGCGTATTTTTCTGACTGTGCTGATGTTTTTACCATGTTTTTGCTATATCAGGTCTGGCGAATTTTCTGACTAAGCTGATGATTTTACCATGCTTTTGCTATTTCAGCAAGACTATTTCCTTTTTTGGAAAACAATTTTCTGTTTCGATTGGTCTATCTCGGATTGACAAGAGTTCTAAAATCAGTGCTAATGCGCAACCTTCCTGAATCGAAGTGAAAACTCTCTTTGAGGTGACTCCCAAAATGGAAGTTATAAATATAGCAGCAGTTGCTTATTTTTTTATATGGACGTCGAAAATGAACAACTTTATGTTGAAACTTGTAACAAACTTAAATTACAGTACTTCTATCATTTATTCATTTTTTTTTCTTACTAGGCCAGTATTTTTATAATCCTCCTGTCGTAAGTAAAGGGAATGGATTTTCGTAATGAATTCATGTTTTACTCTTGGTAACTTTAAAGCCGAATTCATATCTTTCTGTTCTATCACCGACAGTATTTAAACATGTAAAATATTTGTTAATGCCAAAATATAACCAAACGATCAATTTCTCTTATCAGTCACCTTTCTTTGGCTGTATTTTGAAAAATGTCACATATTTTGTACTATTCTTTGCTGTTCTTGTTTGTCACCATTTTGTAACTTAACTAAACCTGTCTAAACTCAGGGTTGATTCCGATTTAATTCTGGTAGGTTCAAACGGCAAAACTCTACTAACCCGAACTCGACGAATCGATGTAAGCCGACGTTGATCATCATTTCGCCACTCTCTTAGCTTTCTGCATCCTAATATTGACAAATTCATTTTGTGTTTGTGTTGAATGTATTATACATACAAAAATAAAAGCAGTCAAAATAAACCGTATGAGCATTACCACAAACCAGTCCGCTAAAATTATGCAAATACATTATAAAAGTAATTTGATGTACTATATTTGAAATTTTTTTAACAAAATTGAAGGACCAAAAAGTACATTATTTAATTGTAGTCAATGTACTAGACAGAAAGTTTAGTTGTAGAACACTTACTGGAAGCCGATATGAAACAATCAATATTTTACGTTTTTTTTGGGGGGGTTTTTGTGTGTGTAGTTTAGGTTGTCAATGCATAGTAGGAACCTTCAAAAGAGAACTTAAACTAAGATGTGGTAATGATATATCTGTCAGATTTTCTACTCTAAGTGGACCAAACGGCCTTAAAGTGGAACAATATATGATTTCGTTCTTTTAAACTTCCGTGTAGTATTTACCTCATTCCATCAACACATTGTTTGCTGCTTTGTCGAATTTGGTGTATTAAAATGTTGGTTATGCGCACAGATCCGTCAGACAATATTGATTGCTTGATTGATTGTTGGTTGCTTAACGTCCAGTGGCAAATATTTAATGCATTTTCAGGACGAGAACAAATTAACAATAAAAACAATAGGTAGGTTCTGTAATAGAGGCGTCCGGGATTAAGGTCGGAGAAATTTAAACTGCCACGGGAAATAAGGGTATATTGGATAAAGTCAGAAATTTAGCCTTGCAACAGGTCACCTACGGACCCCTCAAAGAGTTGTTGCAAGGGTTCTTAACGTGCAAAAGAGCGTGGCACTCTCTTTACACTAGGCATCGGATTTAACGACCCCATTCTGACCGGACGTGGCGACAAATTTGTACATCCCGCACAGCCAAACGGACGTCCCACTTTAGCGAGGGTTTTACTGCCGGTCGGAGGAAGACCAATGGTGACCATACTTCTATTCCCCAGTCATCCTTGGGGTGCAGACAATGTTGATACTGTTATGATATTTATTTATATTCCAATGCTGATTTTTCATATCAACTATCAATAACATGTAACCCAATTTGGATGGCAGGTATTGACTTATAAAAAAAATTAGAAGGACGATTGATCAACAATAAAAATGATGATAAAGTCGTAGTATTTAACTAATAATGTAATTATCTAATTTATTATGTTTATGCTTTAACTGATACATAATCACTGATGTAAAAAAAATAACATGATATAAACTATTGAACCTAAGATGTATTTATCAAGATAAAAAAATGAGGTTACATGAATTGATATAAATCCTCTAAATAAATAGATTAAAATATATCTATTAACGTGTGTCATTTGAAATCATGTATACTACTATGAGCTACACAATGAATAAACGACCTTTTGAATTAAAAACAGACCAACTGATATTTGAGTTTCTAAAATTAAAAATATTCCCTGATTGCACGAAGTTACTATGAAGTTATCTATACAAAAAATGTTCCTTCGTAAAATGGTGCGTGTTCTGGCAGAAAACAGCACTTTCATTTTGTGAATGAAATGAAAGAACATTCTTGCGCGATTCACTCGCACTTGCCAAGAAGCGTACAATCTCAATTATTATAAAATCAGGTTTATTCATGATTTGTTAATGACAGTTCTATCTTTGGTTTCGAAGTAATTGTGTTAAGTTCAACCAGAACTGTCCCTCGTCATATTCTTTTGTTGGAAATTTACTAAAGGATGCTGAATTAACAAAAGCACGCAAACTTGAAGACATCTTTTCTTCAGAAACATCCTCTACCATAAGACTAATTAACGCATCAGATTCCCTGTTAAGACATTTTTCCTGCGCTATTCTTGATTCAAACAGACACCAGCTGCTTTTTATCATATCATGAGATATAACGATAATTATTCTCCTGCTTGAAGACATTTTTTCAACTATGTTCTCGACATATACTTTACCAACTTCAAAATCTCGATCTCTAATACATAAAGAAATTCCCGACTCGTTTTCTATTTTTTCTAAAAGCTTTTTTCGAATCCATTGTAGATCATTGTCACAGTAAATAACATATGCTTCAAATTTATAATCTGTTTCTTCGTTTGATATAAGAGAAAATCCTTTCTTTTTCACACGGTAAAGAAATAACCAATATCGTATATGCCATCGTAATCTGAAGATTAAACTGAAAATGATGACGAAAACAATTCCTGATAACGATAGTGATGTGACAATGGCAGTGAATAATTCATTATCTGATTTGGAACATTCGAAATGTGTTGGTATTGCATCTTTGAGCATTTCACCGTCTTTTTCTGGAGGCGTTTTACAATGGTACAGTTCTGGATAATTTTCGAAAATGATTTTTTCCGTTTGTATCCAGTTGTGAAACCATACATTAGAGCATGTACATGCAAAGGGGTTGTTTCCTAATGACAACATTGATAAATGTTTTAAAGCATTTCGAGGAAACAGTGTTTCGTTTATAGTTGATAAAGCATTTCCGGTTAGTTTCATCGTTCGGACAGATGATTGGTTTCCGAATACTCTATGTCCATTCCACGATGAGATTCTGTTGTTTTCAAATGAAAAATATGATAAGTTAGGCAATTTGAAAAACAAATTCTCGGGTAGTGTGATCAGTTGACAGTTGTCAATATAAAGATGTACTAGAGATCGTAATGACGATAACATTTTCTCTAAAATATGTATAGAGGGGAATTCGTTGCCACTTAAATCAAGATATTCTATTTTAGGGCTGTGTTTGAAAATTTCGATCTGATTCAAATGGTACATTACGTCATTTTTGAAAACAAACTTATTGTTATGAAAAAATAGCCGTTTCAAAGTATTGCTTTGAAATGCTCTATCATCTATTCTGTTAAATCGGAATCCAAGATTACTCATGAATAGGAATTCAAGCGAGGGGAGTGTAAGAAATGTGTAATTCAATACACTCAAAATTGGATTCCCAGAAAGACGCAAAGACTTTAGATTCTCTAAACACCAGAACAGGTTATTTATATTCGTAATGGAATTAGCCAGCAAATTAAGTTTAACAAGTTCCGGGAAGTAACAGGTTGTTTCATTTCCAAAAAAGTCTTTTTTTATTTGTATACGATTATAATGGAGATCTAGTATTTCTATTTTTTTGAAAAATCCTGGTTGGATAATGGATATTACGCCATATCCAATACGCAACTCTTTAAGCTGAACCAAATTTTTGCTTAGAAGTGTCATATTCAAATTTTCGAAATTGTTATCCAGTATTTCTAGCTTTTCAATGTAAAAGCGTGATAAAGCAATGTATAAATCCGTTGGCTCGTTGCTCCATTTCATTCTATTAAGTATTATTTGTTTAAAATTTAAACAATTGATTTGTGCTACAGCATCTGCTATCATGGACGAAGTCAATTTAGGGTTCCTACTGAGATCCAATATGAGGAGGAAGCGAAAATTACTAAAGGCATCAGCTGTGATATGTGTTATGCCATTTCGTCCAAGAGAAAGATACACTAGTTTCAATCCTTCCAAATTTCGAAACGTTGAAGCGTTAATGGTTTCTAATCGATTTCCAGAAAAGTCAAGTTCTGTTATATAGCTCGGTAACTCTGGGACGAGCCATAACATGGCATTTTGACATGACGCAAATCGAGTTTTCCGCAAACATATACATGATTTGGGACAACTACTGGTTCGTGCAGCAAAGACATAGACTGGCAGCACAAGAATTACAATAATTGAAACAGACATTTTAAGCATTTTCCTGAAAAAAATTTTACAAAAAGTGTAGTTTTAAGGTGAATTGATCAATCAACATCATAAAAATACCAAGTGAAAACATTATATAGTGTGCATTTTCAATACAAGAGTAACATGAGTAATTAAGGAAGTCTTTGTAAATGACATAAGAAAAATGTTAATAGCATGATTTCCACTGGAAACAAGAACACAAAAGTTAAGATAAGAAGAGTTGTCTGACATCATTTAACCTATTCTAATTTGAAGGTGATTAGATTTTAAAAACAAAACAAATGAGTTTAATTGTTTACGAACACATTTATGAGGCAATGCACCTATGATCAGGTCTTGTTTGGCATAGGAGAAGTGATGACAGAAAATATTGAATCTTGATATGTTAAACTAGGATTTTCGGCAGTCAGACAGTGTGCGACACTTTGATCATCCTATTTACATTTTGTAATTGATTTGTAGTTAGATAGTTGCAATTCTTGTTTTGTCTTAAATTAGTATCATGGTAGCATTATATTCTTTTTAAAGTTATGAATAATACCACAATTGTGTTGAAATTTAACTCTGAAGCTTACTTTATCTTTTATTATATTCTAAATGTACAATACCATTTTTTATCGTCATCTACATATTGATACATGTCATAGATGTTCAAGTATTATATTATATTCATTTTTCATGATGTTCGTATTGCAAAAGTGAGAAAAAAATGAAAACAACACATTATAAATTACATGTGTCCGAAGCGCTTATCTGGATTTACCCTTATCAGGAATGCTAAGAGCCGAATATTTGAAAGCCGAGGATGTATAAGAACTGAAACAGTCAAAGAGCTGTATGACCAATAAGGACCTCAAAGAATAGTCAAATCCATCTAGGGTCAACTTTGCCAGAGGAAATTGAAACCAAATTAGTTTCTTTATAATTTTAAATTTATAAACGGACAATTTTAGAAAGGTTTGTTATAAATTACGTCAGTACCGAAGTACTGACTATTGCGTTGATGATACCATCGGGGACTGACAGTCCACCAGCAGAGATATCGACACAGTGCTGTAAAAAATGAAAACAACACATTAAAAATTTCATACGTCCGCTTTTCTGGATTTATCTTCATCAGGAACGCTAAAACCGAATATCTGATAGCCAAGAACTCTCCCCTTCGTTGGTAAAATAGCATGATAGCATCAAACATGTAGATCATCATAATTCAGATACAAAATGTATATGGTGGTTTTACCTAATTTGTTTTAAGGGTAATACACGGGTTTATCAATTATTTTTTTTTTGGGGGGGGGGGATAATTTTTTCAGACCATGATGATTCTCTTTCATAAATTCTTATTTTCGCTTTAAATAATGATGAATAGCTAATGTTATCATAAATAATAAAGATATCAGTGAAAGTCGATGTAACTGCGATATATTAATTCGGTTTATGGCTTGGGGTAGACAGAATTGACTTAATTTAGTCTTGAAAACCCCGTCAAATATTATTTAATCGTAAAGTAGTGTTCTGCAAACAAAATTTCTGTGCTTTTAATATGTTAAATTTATAAGAATAAAAAATTGTGGTTTGATAGACTCCTTGTTGGGGACCATACATTATCGGTCTTTGGTCTCATGTGAATAATTGTCGCATTGACAACCGCACCACATCTCAGGCGTTGTCAGTTTATCATTCACTAATCAGATTGAATATATTTGATATGTTCCACCTCTCTTTTTCAATAACTGAGAAGAAGAAATTATAAATAAATAATATAAAATTTATGAAAGAAAACATGCTTAAAAGTTTTCATCGAAATAATGTTTATACTTACAAACATTTTCCTCTTCTATCGTAAAGATTATAAATACCTAAATGTAGAAATATTTAACCCATTATAATTTGTATTTTCCCATGAGAAAAATATCTATCATATATAATTGTATCTGCATATGTCACCATGAACACTTGTACTTCAAGTTTTATTCATGAACCTATTTGACACCGATTAGGCCTTTTTTTGGAATTATATTGCTCATTTATTAAGGAAATATTTAAATATTCGAATTATAGTCTTGGATGAAAATTCCCCATTTACGTCAGACATATTAAAACACCTTTTTTTAAACATTGTCAAAAAATTATTTGAGGTCCGATTTTTGTGAAATTTTTGAAATATTTTTAGGGCATATTATTACTGAAAAATCATTATTTGTATACAAGTATTGAAATTTTAGTGTAATTTTTCCTACACAGCCATATGATTTTTTAGTGCAGAAAGTCATATTTTGTCTTTCAACAGTGATTTTCTTAAAAAGACAATCATAAATATATTTCATAAATAACGCAAGAAACTGCAGACATTTCTGTATTTAATGATTTATTGTTTTTTTGATGAACGCCACTTGCAGCACTATTGTGCTATTTTTGATGGTCAGTTTTTTGTTTTATTTTTTTGTTTTTTTTTTTTAGAAAACTTAAGTGTCCGAAGAGAACCACCGACCTTCGGTAGGAAACTGACAATCCTAGTCAATTAAGATTGGAGTCGAATGCACCTAAAACTTGCGGGACTCGAACTCACAACCTCAGTGTTGACTGGCTAGTAGAGATATAGTTGTTCGACTACTAAGACCACCAAGGCCCCTCTGTATTTAATAAAAAAAACTAATCCTTTATTTTGGACTAGAAATATCTTTAGAAGAATTTCTTTTATTAAAAATGTGTTTTTTATGAAATAATAGGGAATTTCCAATAAGTGAAACACTTTTGACCTAAGACTGTTTTTCAAAGGCGTAGATATAATTATTTTTTTTAGATATGAACTTATGCGGATAAAATCACAATTTCAATGAGTTGATCTAAAAAAAATGTAAAGAACATATTTTTGAATTATTAGTAAATTTCTATCAAGGAAGAAGAAAAAATAATTAATAGGGAAATTAAAATCATCACTTTTATAACTTAGTATTTAACTGTCAATGTTTCGAACTGTTTTTTACCTTTTTGCTTCTTGACTGCCGGTCATGATTTTCTTTTTATATACGCTAGGACATAAGTTTGTATAATAGTCCCAGATATACGCTATTTGATTTCCTTTTTTGTTTGTGTACTCTTGACGAGTCAATATCCTTCGTAGTGCTAGCTCTGTTAATTCGAATATATCTGAGCTTCTGACACATCAAGTTTTAATTTAATAAAACATTGATACATTATCTTTGTTGTGTAAGTAAACAATAAGAGAATTTAAGCTATTGTTTAAAAGATAAAAATTTTTATAATGTGCTGGTTATTTTTTACTTTGGTATGAAAATATAGATTCTACCACTGCATCGAGTGTGATACGATATTTATCCACTCGAAACAGTTAAATTTCAAATTTAAAACGCGAGGCTCGCCGAGCGTTTTAAATATTTAAAATTGAACTGTCGAGAGTGGATAAATATCGTATTACACGAGATTTGGTGGTGGAATCTGTTTCTCTAATGGTTTTCAAACAATACGTAGGCAAATGTATTCCTTCTTTTCGAATGATCTGCAAAAAGATGTGTACTTTCTATGTGACGTCATCAGGCATGGTCGCCTTTTTTCATGCCGTCACAATAGGAAATTCAGAGAAAAGCAAGAAAATTCGACGTCATAATCGGATTTTAACCAATGAAGAACTGAGATCAAACGAACCACACGTTGATTAAATTTTTTTTATACAATGGGTGCAGAAAGGGATAAATTGACGAAGAATTAGAGAAAAGATTTTACATGTTTTGTCGTAAAAATTTTGAATATCATGTATTTGTAAGTGTAAAATACATGGCGTATTCTTATGTTTTAAAATAAGGAGACAAAAAAGTAGAAAAGATAAAAAGGTGATAATCAAAGATCTTAATTCAAGAAAAATTTAGACTACACCTAAACCGAAAGCAAAAGTTAAACAGTCAAGGAGCAGTTAGCAACAAGTTTTCCAAAGCCTATGTCAGATTTTTAAACACAAATATTTGATATTTTTTAAATTGATTAAGTCCTTTTTGTCTTCTCATGTCTACAATCAAATCAACCATCAATATGAAGAAAACTCATAAGAATTCATCTTTTTTATTATCCGAACGAAAATAAAATAAATATAAATCCCATATGTTCATCTAGTTTCTTCAGAAATTTTGGAATTATACAATAAACTGAAAGCCTTCATATGTCTTTGTCAATGAACCATTTATCACTCCAAACAGTAAAAAATATTTTACCTAGGCCCCTATGTATTTAATAAAACAAATCATTTATTTTGGACTAGAAATATCTTTAGAAGAATTTTTTATTAAAAATGTGTTTTATATGAAATAATAGGGGAAACACTTTTGACCTAAGACTGTATTTCATAAGCGTAGATATAATTGATTTTTTAGGATGATCTTATACGAATTAAGTACAACCTTGAATGAGTTGATTTAAAAAAAAAGTAAAGAACATATATTTAAATTATTAGTAAATTTCTATCAGGGAAGAAG